AGGCAGAGCTTTGGGTAAGTCTCCCTCGCACAACATTGCTCAATACGTCGCATTCATTGGACTTTTCTTGAAATAATGAATGGATACATCGCTTTTGTATGCAGACTTATTACAGATGCGAGGAGGGATTTGAGGTCAGGGCGGAGTAGGAGACTACCAAAGCCTGTAAAAAAACTCGCCACCGACATGCATCACGAGGCATGCATCCAGGCCATCGTAACCTACTACGGGTCGAAGCTTGGAGAGAGGAAAACCAAGAAAGACGCAAGAAAGATGCAGCTGACCCGGGAGCAATACCTTGAGGTAAATGAAGAACATCAATATTGATTCGTTTTGAGATTAAGTTGGTTTAATTTGATCTTCTTATATGTCCAATACTTGATGACGTGTAGATGATTCCCTGGTGGTGCCAAGCGTATCCCGAGTGCTAGGCGATGATGGTGGAGAGGTGGTTCACGGAGGAGTACCTCAAGATGCATAGGGATGCCTGAGACCGTCGTTTGCAGATGCAAGGTCTAGCACACCATCAAGGCAGCCGTAGCCTCACCCTATACAAACAAGCATGGGTACGCAAATTCATTTATCTATTGTGATGCTCAGTTCTGCCAGATTTGTAATCATCGTGCTGTCTTTCTCGTAGTCGGCGTCACATAGTGGTCAGGCTTGCTCGGACTTCTAGGCATGATTTATGGCCCACAAGGGCAAGGCGACGTCCGATGTCTCCTTCAACCTGGAGGACCCGCCCGAAGCATACACGAACCCGAGCATCCACTCCCGCATCAGTGAGTACACTGAGGTGGCGAGGTCACTCCACGGGTCAGACCACGATCCGAGCACCCAGGACTTCGATGGAGAGGCCGTCATGAGGGCAGGGCAAGGCAAGAAGCATGAGCGGTTCTGGCTTGGCGACGGCGTCATCGACACGACCTCTACTCCCTCTCTCTCCTAGATCCGAACATTGAGCACGAGCGAGAGCCCGGCCATTCGCACACGGCCGACCGCTGCACAGCACCGAGTCGACGCACTCGAGGTTATTCCTATTTTACTCGTCATACATTGATCTTTACACACCTTAATTAGCTTTGCATTACTAAAACATTGGAATGAAATATTACAGGCCCGGCTGGAACAAGAAATGAGGTAATGTCAGGAGCTGGCGGCCCAGCTGGACGCCGAGCGGACCAAGCAGCAGGCCTAGGCGCAGAGGCTGACAGACATTACGGAGTTCCTACAAGGGCTTGGGCAACGTGTGGGCTTCTCTCTACCAGCTGGGCTGTTGGTTCCACCTCCGCCTTCGCGTCCTGCAGCTGCAGCTACTCCTGTGAGTATGAAAGTTTTTTACTTTCGCTTGTGCTTTGCTTGTATGGCCTCTACCTTCCTACATTAGCTATCTAAATAATCTTGTCTCGCATGCAATCTTTACTCCTTTGTGCAGTCTCCATCTGACGGTGGTTCGAATAATCCACCTCATGCACCTCCGAATGATGCAGCTGGGCCTTCACCACAGTCGTAGTGGCCGAGATGAGTGCACGTTGTATTTTTTTTCATTTGTTGTTCACTTGGTGATGGACTTGTGATATACTTGTGGACTTTGATGGACTTTGATGGACTTGTGGATTTATTTGGATTGACTTGAGCACTTATTATTATATATATGATATATATTGTGATGGATGTGATATGTGCGGATGGATGTGTGGATGGATGAGATATATATGTGATGGATGAGATATATATGTGATGGATGAGATATATGATTGTATGAATTTATTTGTCATGATGGAATGTAAAAAAATTAAAAATGGCCGTTTTGGGTCACTTTGCCGAGTGTTGCACTCGGCAAAGGACCCCTTTGCCGAGTGCCATGGTCACAGCACTCGGCAAAGCTGGAAAAATGGGCTGACGGAAAACCATTTTCCAGCTTTGCCGAGTGCCATGACCATGGCACTCAGCAAAGAATTTTAAAAAAAAATTCGAACTTTGCCGAGTGCCGGCCAGAGGACACTCGGCAAAGATTTTTTTTTAAAAAAAAAATCAAACTTTGCTGAGTGCCGGCAAGAGGGCACTCGGCAAAGAATTTAAAAAAAATTTCAAACTTTGCCGAGTGCCGGCTAGAGGGCACTCGGCAAAGAATTAAAAAAAATTCAAACTTTGCCGAGTGCCGGCCCCAGAGGGCACTCGGCAAAGAATTTTTTTTAAAAAAAAATCAAACTTTGCCAAGTGTCGGCCAGAGAACACTCGGTAAAGAATTTTTTTAAAAAAAATTCAAACTTTGCCAAGTGCCGGCCAGAGGGCACTTGGCAAAGAATAAAAAAAATTCAAACTTTGTCGAGTGCCGGCCCCAGAGGGCTCTCGGCAAATAATTTTTTTTAAAAAAAAATCAAACTTTGCCGAGTGCCGGAAAGAGGGCACTCGGCAAAGAATTAAAAAAAATTAACTCTGCCGAGTGCCGGCTAGTGGACACTCGGCAAAGAATTTTTAAAAAAATAATAAAAAAATCTTTGCCGGGTGCCTGCAGGGTTGACACTCGACAAAGAATTTTTTTTAAAAAAAAATAAAAAAATCTTTGCCGAGTGCCTACAGGGTTGGCACTCGGCAAAGCCACCGTCAACGGGGCCGGCGCCGTGACGGTCGCTTTTCTTTGTCGAGTGCCCGATAAAAGACACTCGGCAAAGAGGGCTTTGCCGATCAATTTTTTGCCATGTGTTCTTTGCCGAGTGCCGCACTCGGCAAAGGCTTTGCCGAGTGCAATTTGGCCTTTGCCGAGTGAATAGCAAGTCCAAAAGAACCTGAATCCAGTAGTGAATAGCAAGTCCAAAATGAAAAAAATAACCACTGACGTTTCAACTCCAAAGAAAAATAAGCAGGTGCTAAAAGCAGTTGGTGATAGTGGCACCAACAACTGCAGCACCAGCAAAAATAGAACAGACAGCAACACGAACTGCAAAAGAAAATTTGAAGCCTTGACTAAAGTTGCTACCTGAGCATGTGGATGGTCAGAGCCCCACAAAATACTTACAAGCCAGTGAGTCTATCGATCTTATAGTACTTCGCTACTTCGATTTTACGGATCCATTGTTGTTTCTCCTTATCATTACTAGTACAATGCCCGTGCTAACGCTACGGCAACATTCAAACATGCAAATGAAAACAACCGAAAGACACAGTTTGCTGCATAAGACTTGGCATTTACAACTTAGCAAGTTACCACTCACCACTCAACATCCACGGTGCAAATAAACATATGATCGAAAATTCCTTTATAGTGAAAATTGACTTAAATTTCTTCAAAGACCCCCCAAAATAAAAGATCATGCCTTGCTGCAGACAAAAATTGTTTCACAAACTGGTAATCTTCAAAATTTGATATCCAACATAATCTAAGTAGGCCACAGATTTGTATATCCCAATGAAAATTTCTAGAACACACTGAACTGTTGGCAATCCATTCTTTTGTGTGCGTCCTTATGGGCCACTTCTTACATAGTGAATAGCACCAGTTGAAGGCAAAAAATTCATGGCCACTCAACAAGCATGTGCCCTCGTAAAATCAATAAAATCAGTGTGTGCTTACTGCTGAATTGAGTCAGTGTGGGGGCGCTTGCCGACATCGTCGCTGTACACTGCCGCCACTGCCTCCAGATCCAGCCACAGCCCTTCTCCACCTCTGCCAGCTAATTAGTAATATATTAGATAGACGCGAAACCTCCAGAAATCCTTTATAAGTCACAAGTATATATTTTTTAGTTTCAAAGTCACAAAGAAGAGCATCACACAAGATACTCCATCTTTTAAAAGAAAGAAAGAAGCCGATCCACCTTCCAAGTTTTACATATATATAACACAACAGTTTGGCAAACAACAAGAAAATCCAAGTCTTACAACTGAGGACACTGACTGGCACATCCCAGTACTTCAGAGCTTGCCTATCTCATGCCATTCGAATCATTGAACTTTTACACACAGCTAACCTAATCTTTTCATATACAACTTTGCATAAATCTATACCGACAAATTACTCAAATGGAAAATATCACAATTGTTATTTTACCTGTCCCTTATAGAATGTTTTCCAAGTCTGAAACATGGGAACAATCAGACTGCCGAGATAGTACAAACCATCTATGTTCTATGGGCAGCCAGCTTTTTGCACCATATTTGTACTCTGATCCAAACATAAAATAAACAAAACAGAAATGTCACAAGTGAGTTCCGGATAAATTCTTCATGTCTGGCTCTCCTAAAAGCATAACCATACAAGCAATACAATTACAAAATGAGATAGTCATTTGACTTGATTCCTACGTGTCCAGGCTGCCAAACTAAACTCGTACACAAAACACGCACGTCTTGCCCATTTGTCCCACAGATTGCCTAAAATTAATAGGTTAGTTCATCTCTGGGACACTATGTCTCACAGATTGATTGATTCTGAATTATTGGATCGAATCATCAGAGACAAATAACACATGAACTGATGGAAAAAAACAAATCTCACCAAGGGACGATAGTACCTTCCTGCAATGCATGGTGGCATAAACTGAACCAGAGCCAAGATTCTCCTTTGGAACATTGACAAACAGAACAGATTCCATATGTCCTAATAACTGAATGGCAACTAACTTCATCTATCCCAAGTATCGATATCGTATAATCCATCTGACAAGTTTAGCTCCATTAATAAATCTCAAGAACTCCAAAAGATTCCATAAAATTTAATTGTATATAAAGAATCCACAAAGAAGTATTAACTAAATTTGGGCTTAATAATTAAAATCAAGACGACCCCACATCAAAAAGGGTGAAACCCACTCGGTACTGAATTCCTCTAATCATCTGACCTCAAGCAAAGGTTTGCAGCCAAATGTATTTTTGTTATTGCAGTAAGAAATAGTTAAATTAAATTTGACTATGGATAGGGACATTTTCTTGTCATAAAACCATAGCATTCTCTAGCACGCCTACCTACATTGTTGCAATATTAATTCTGGCAGGAACTTTCAATCAAAGCACGTAGAACTCTTCGAACTCCTGTTCATCGTCCTGATCAAACCCATAGTCATACCAATTGTCTTATGTGAGTGCATCGCCCTCGCACTGACGTCTCTAGGCTTGCAGTGGGTTCCCGAGGAACCAGCCGCCATCTGCTCGACGGAGGGAGGCGTTCCCCATGATGGCGGCGGCGTGGACTCCAGCCCGCACGCCATGTCGAGGCCGTAGTGCTCCCACAGCATGCGCCCATCGTGGGCGGAGCCCGATCCGACGAAGGTGACCCTGGGGTCAGCGAGGAACCGGCGCAATGCCTCTGGTATGGCGTCGGCGCAGGCGAGGTGGAACACGAGGCAGCGGTGCCCGACGCAGAGCTTGCAGTAGCTCGTGTTGGATGCCGGTCGTCTAGGTCTGCGAAGCGACAGCGGCGTCACGGGCGGGCGGGCGACGGAGCGTCGCTCGTTCGGGAGGAGAAGCAACAGAGCAACATAGGCATGGGAGTCTCATGTTTGGTTTCTGAGTTGTTTCGGAGATTTGGTTCTGGAAATAGGAGGTACCGTGCTTCGAAACGAGGATCGTTGGCCTCCGTGGTGCGGCCGTGTGGGTGGGGAGAGGCAGGCTAATAGGGTGCGTTGAAGCCTCTGGATGATCCAAACAATCCTGACCAATAGATCGTGTGGAAGCCTAATAGGAAGATACGTGAGCCATTGATTTTAATGCTGTTGTATTTCTGGGGACATATTTTGGAGTGTACGAAGCAAAAGTCATGACAGTGGGGGATTGAAATTGTGGGTGGACCTAGTATAATTTCAATTGGTTCCTTATAGTTTATATGATAAAGTCACTTAATTTCAGGTGTCCAAATGGACAAGAACAGACCAGAGAACAACTCTAAAAGTAGAAATGTGCCCCAAGATATCATTTCGGTAAAGAACTCCGTATGAGCTTGAGAAAAAGATGCATTGAAATCAGGCATGATGTTTCTAGTTCACTAATAATAAATATTTGCATGTTTATGTGTAAAACTTCAACTTAAAGATTTCTTTTAAAAAAATACTTTGACTTTTAGTTAATTAATTATCTTTCTGTCACACCCAGTTTTAAAGACAAAACTGAGTACTAACTATATGTGTGCCCAGGAAGTCAAATCACATATATAGCGACAAATTACAATAGTATCAAGAGACAATACTTTATTATATAACAAAATATACTCATATTCAATAATTACATCAGAGTATCACGAAATTAAGTGCGTCCTGATCAAACCCATAGTCATACCAATTGTCTTATGTGAGTGCATCGCCCTCGCACTGACGTCTCTAGGCTTGCAGTGGGTTCTCGAGGAACCAGCCGCCATCTGCTCGACGGAGGGAGGCGTTCCCCATGACGGCGGCAGCGTGGACTCTAGCCCGCACGCCATGTCGAGGCCGTAGTGCTCCCACAGCATGCGCCCATTGTGGGTGGAGCCCGATCCGACGAAGGTGACCCTGTAGTCAGCGAGGAACCGGCGCAACGCCTCTAGTATGGCATCGGTGCAGGCGAGGTGGAACACGAGGCAGCGGTGCCCGACACAGAGCTTGTAGTAGCTCATGTTGGACGTCGGTCATCTAGGTCTGCGAAGCGGCAGCGGCGTCAGGGGCGGGCGGGCGACGGAGCGTCGCACATTCGGGAGGAGAAGCAACAGAGCAACATAGGCATGGGAGTCTCGTGTTTGGTTTCTGAGTTGTTTCGGAGATTTGGTTCTGGAAATAGGAGGTACCGTGCTTCGAAACGAGGATCGTTGGCCTCCGTGGTGCGGCCGTGTGGGCGGGGAGAGGCCGGCTAATAGGGTGCGTTGAAGCCTCTGGATGATCCAAACAATCCTGACCAATAGATCGTGTTGAAGCCTAATAGGAAGATACGTGAGCCATTGATTTTAATGCTGTTGTATTTCTAGGGATATATTTTGGAGTGTACGAAGCAAAAGTCATGACAGTGGGGGATTGAAATTGTGGGTGGACCTAGTATAATTTCAATTGGTCCCTTATAGTATAGATGATAAAGTCACTTAATTTCAGGTGTCCAAATGGACAAGAACAGACCAGAGAACAACTCTAAAAGTAGAAATGTGCCCCAATATATGATTCCGGTAAAGAACTCCGTATGAGCTTGAGAAAAAGATGCATTGAAATCAGGCGTGATGTTTCTAGTTCACTAATAATCAATATTTGCAAGTTTATGTGTAAAACTTCAACTTAAAGATTTCTTTTAAAAAAATACTTTGACTTTTAGTTAATTAATTAGCTTTCTGTCACACCCAGTTTTAAAGAAAAAACTGAGTACTAACTATATGTGTGCCCAAGAAGTCAAATCACATATATAGCGACAAATTACAATAGTATCAAGAGACAATACTTTATTATATAACAAAATATACTCATATTCAATACTTACATCAGAGTATCGCGAAACTGTTGGTAATCTTTAGGCTCCATCCTTCACAGGACGGCTGACTGGGGGTAATATATGCCTAGCACTTCTATCAATCTTCTGGGAACTCCTCCGTGATTCCATCAATCTTCGGAGCAACTTTTCTAGAGTCTGTGGTGTGGGGAAATAGCAAGGGTGAGCACATGTCGTACTCAACAAATATAACATGGGGTTAATGGGCTCAAAAGGATGACACTGGTTTACGGCGGTTAGCTTTTAGTTAGTCGTAATTTTAAGTAATTGACTAGCATCAAATTTATCATAAACCCACAAAAACACATGATCAGATAAACATGAATAATGAATAGCGTAAACAATTAACCATTAATGATCATCAATTCCGTAAGAGTTCCAAGGCCGCTCGTGACCATGAGTACGGCTGTTATAACAGTTTTACACTCTACAGAGGTTGTACATCTTTACCCATGAGCCGTGATTTACCCTTTCATCCAAGGGGACCAGTCTCTTGACCCACTACCAAGGAAGGTCGGCAGGGTTCACTATGAAGTCTTTTAAAGATACGTCTAACAAGTTAGGGCCGCAAGGTTTCTGTGCCCTGCGAATGTAGAGCCCCCTTTCGAAAGGCACACTCACGCAAAAGTACTCTTAGGAACAGAGGTCGCACTACACCCAACCCGAAACACGCCCCTCTTGCACCATAAAGGTAACCACTAACAACCTGGAAAAGCTCCTCATACTTGTCTAAAGCCAGAGCCACATAGCACTCATGGATGTACTGTAAGTCTCGGTGACCACTTACAGACAAGTCCTTAGGGAGAGGAATCTAGAGCATCACAAAAACTATGCTCTAGCCCCATTTTTCTTTGTTGCTAAAAAGCATCTTTTAGTGTTTATTGTATATTCCATTAGTCAAGTTACAAGATCATGCTTTCAGTTGAGCACTAGCATCATACTATCAAATGCAATACCCCTTAGGTGATAAGGAATCCAAGATATCAAATAGCTAGGAAAATTACTATGGTTGCCAAGGTAGACACATACATATGATTAAGTTATTAAAGTGAATAGGACAACAAGGATGATCCCATGCTATACTTGCCTTAAACACTTGCTCAACTCTCACACCATCAGCTTTCGGTCATCACCTTCTGATCTTCAGCGCCCATAAACGGTTCTCGTTTACTCATAGCAAGCACCACACATAGGCAATCAAACAAGGAACAAATAAAAGCAACTAAGAATAATAGAGCAAAAGCTTTAAAACAGCGTGCTAAGAGAGAACTCATTGCTACAATAGATAGAACACAAGAAATATCGATAACGAAACTATCGTTAAAAAGAAACGACTATCAAGAGTTTTATATTATAAAAGAAGCAACTACGGGTTTGATTTATTTTAATTAATAAAAACTATATGAATAGTATTAATTCCGATTAATCAAAACATATTTACTTTTCAAAAGTCATGCTATAGCTAATCATGTTTTAGTCATCATATAATTTAATCAGATTAAACTTTAACATTTACAAAACAAAGGTGCATGTGAGAGCATATAAACAAGTTTTATATGACCATCTTTATCCTAAGCAAATTATAATTTAGAAACACATTTATGTTAGCAATTAATCATGTTATCAGTTATATATAAAATACATAAGTATACAACCTATATTGATTTTAATTATAAAACTAGATACAAGTATATTAATCAATTTAATATTTAACTATATATAGAAAAACATGTGACATGAAAAACATTAATACTAGTGTGTAGAGCACGTCGGCATGACTCTAACGCAACTTGAACAAACCGAATCGGAATTAAAATGAAGGAAAAACGGAGATATTACGAACCAATGGCAGTTTCGTAATTATGTCGTCTTCATCCTTGGCTGTTGCAGATCATGACGTCCATGGCCTTTGGAACCTGCTACCGTTCTCGTAGGGGATGTTGGCCGGGGAAGCGAAGGAAGGGCTGAGCTGAGCACGAGCCTGAGACTTGGAGGCCTCGACTCCCACCTGCCCACGTGCGTCATCCGCGACGGGTGGCACCCGCTGGTGGCCAAAGGGCTCCCGAACTAGCCATGCACGCACGGTACAAGCGCCGCACGGCGGCCGGGCTGAGGCAGGGCCAACGCGGCAGCTGCAGCAGCGCACGCGCGCTCGCCCAGCAGGCTACGGCGGCGCCGGAGAGCCGAGCAGCGGCTGGAATCGGAGGAGAACAAGAAGCCAACCATGGTGAAGTTCACCGGAAGCAAAGAAACAAAGGAGAAAAGGTCAAACGCTGATGTATTCACGCAACCAAGTATACCATGACGTGGAGGACAAAGAGGGATACCTCATGGTGGTGTTGACGTCGGAACGCGACGGTTAGGCCGGAAAAGCTCGCCGAAAAGTCCGACGCTGACATGACATGAAGAGAGAAAATTCTAATTTACTACACGAGGGATTTCCCAAACTAGGAGCTTCCCTTACGCTAGTTTTGGTGTGTTTTACCCAAGGGGTTGATACATATATATATATATATATATATATATATATATATATATATATATATATATATATAAAGAAAAACTCCCCACATCCACGTCAACTAGCGATATCGTACTAATTGACGTTGTACCATCCACTTACACTAATAGGCCTAAATAAACATTAAAGCCCATTAATAAATAAAGACATGGGCCTTTAGGATTTATTAGAATTATTGCTCATGGGCTTTGAGGGTTGGAAAATAAAGAGAGATTTTATTTTTTCAGAATTAATTAATTTCATGGATAAAATAATTCTATAAAAGTCTGGAATTATTATTTAAGTCGTGAAAATACTCTGAAAGCTCCGAAAATTCGGGGAGAGGCATTATGGAATATGAGGAACCAAAATAAAGTATTTGGAACTCATGATAAGATAATTTGGAGCATCTAAAAATTAAATTATGCTCATAGACAAGTGGACACCAGTTCTAGAAAAAGCCAGAAAAATTCTCGAGAAGTTTGTAGAGATTGATTGACGGACGAGGAGGTGAAAGGAGCGATTTGGGTTACAAAGAAAAGATTTTAGGAAGCTCCCAATGAAAACTTGAGCTGAGAAATAAGAAATTTTGATGGTAGAAAAAGATAAAGGCATGAGAAGGAAGATCGACCTACTAAACATATTTTAAAGACTTTGCTCACTCTCAACACATAAAGAAACAACAAGCAAACATCACATCAAACAATATCCGGTCAAATTAATTCAGAAAAGTTTGAAGATTCATATTCGTCCTATAACTAATTGATGCTAACTTAAACTAAACTTGAAAATTTTTATCCAAATATCAAAACATTTATTTTAATTTGTGTTTTCTATGCACAACCGAAAATCAGAAATTTTGGGGTGTGACACTTTCAGACACCAGATGTTGATCCTGTAATTAGCGACCATGCCTTGAAAAGCCGAAAGGAGAAACTAACTGAAAAGTCTGGTAAGGACAATCCTATCCCAGAAAAAAGGGAATTTCTTTTCCCTATTATCGATTACTCCATATTGAAGCTCCAAAATCTTAATTTGTATACTTCAATTTGCATTTCAGGTGGCATCACAGGTAACATGAATGTTCAGAGGTATACAACACTGCAATTACTTCAGAAGATGCGAGATGATATAGTATGTTACATATTGTAATTCATTTCTGAAGTTACAGTGGTGCTTGTTGATCATAATTCTTCTCTTCATTGATAACCTAATGTGTACTCATCTTAGTCTATCTATGTTTCAGCTCCATGAGCATTTTGTGCTTGGAGATCGAAGTGCTGAGTACGAAATGGACATTAAAACAATCTTGACAGGTAATTTACCTTTTTCACAACTAAATCTAGATAAAATGGACATTAACAGTGTGAAATCAAATGATCTTGTTGCAAACAACTTGTCTTTCCATTCTACAATGTTACTAAACATAGCACGAGGCCTTTGTACTCTTAGGCTTCGATTTGTATATGTGAACCTTAGTCCCGAATAATGGAGTTGGGCGTCACCATCCCATCCAAACAAGGCTGCCGAATAGAAGTGCATGAACATTATTTACCCTTCCAAGGACAACTAGCAAGATAACTTCAATTATTCCCGCAGAATAATTGTAGACCTATATATATATCAACATATCTTTTCAACTGTGTGAT